TCATGGAAATGTTGCCAATTTTTCAATTTCACTGGAAGTTGCCAGTTAATGAGATCTGTTTACAGCACATGGTTTCTTTCTACAGAAATTAGGGTGTTAAGACATTTACAGGGGATCACAAATTCTTCTGCTAGAGAAAGCTGCCTCCCAAACACACAGTAAAAGCAGCAGGAAGATATGAAGTAGGCAGGGACAAGCGTACTCCATAAAGCTCTAGGACAAATTCACCCAGAAATCTCCTTCTGGCCGTTTCCAGCTGGCTGTAACTGCTTTTCCATGGGATGCAGATAGTGAGTTTACCTCGGTACCCTAAAAAGCTCCACGAGAATGGAGTTTTACCACAGAGGACACACACTATTGAGTATTATCCTAAACGTAATGCAATGGGCAGATTAATTAATTCACGTTCAGTATCCTAGCTGTAACGTGACTCTCAGCACTGTCGTGTGAGGCAATGCCACCTCGGGCACAGCTGCAGCTCCATAGCCTCACACGTTGCTGCAGGACGCTGGGGACTCGGAGAGGACAGCCACAGGAGAAGCCCATCCTCGCAGAACCACATGCGCTGCAAGTATTTTTACTGGGGAAGCACGAAGGTGTTCCTCAGGACAGGACTTCAGAACCAGGCTGTAGTTTGCTCAGTTTAGCCACTTAACTCTGCCACCAAACCAGGCCATCTAAAAGATGGTTGTAGTTTGAGGGGCAAAGGCATTTGCCTGGGAAGGTCTCCACAGAGCCATGAGGTTAAAGCAGTCCAGATCCACCCCAAACTACTAGTGAAAAACTACAGTTTGTAACTTCCAAGCACTCAGCTGGGAATGCAACACAGTCCTTTAAAGAAGTACTACTGGAGATGACAAAATTTTGATAACCTGTGTGTAGCCCGCATAGCAAAAGAAAGCACAGACTAAGGTCGAATTTAGGTGGCCTGTCTGGAGAAGAAAAAGCACCCTTTAGTGTTGGGACGGGGTCTGGAGGAAAGCATGCTAATATGTTTTAGGGGTGGTGGAAGTTAATCCTTTTATTAGGAACAGGTCAGTGGCCTGGCCAGGTGAATTATCTTTTTAATCTCTTAGCAATCTAAGATCGTCTGTGTTCTGCGCTAGCCAAAACAACTTGCTCCTGGATGTACCACTCAAACACATTGCTTTATTTATACACTTTATCTTCTTTTACTGATATAATTTTGAAGTACAGCTGACCTTGTCTACGCCCCTGCTTTGCCCTGTGAAATCTCTTCATTCAATCCTTGTCACTCGTTTTCCACTCCTGATCCGTCCCACATCAGAACTGTAGTTTGGTGCAAGATAATCCCCTGTGCCGGATCAGAGAACATCCCAAGCAATGTTTTGACAAAGGGGAGACAAAATTTCTACCATTATAGAACACAGGAAAAGAAATGTACCACAAGAATTGGATGCTTAAGCAAGTACCAGTAAGTCAAAATTACATCCAGATCTAAAGGCTGGCTCCTAACTACTTAAGAGTAATTTATTTAAATAACAACTACTACAGTGCTGCCTATCACAAAATGTGAAAAAATAGTCTATTCCCTAATTATGGCTGTAGTCTGCCCTCATTCTGTGCCTGTACCAAGGGTAAAAAAATACACTTGGCATTTAAAAATTTCTGCAGGGCAAAGGCAGGTCTGTAAGTCAATAGTGATGATGAACCCCTTGCAAAGCATGTTGTGCAAAAAGTTGACCAGGACCTTAAGCCTCGGAACAAGAACATCCTCCTCAATTCTAGGAGCTCCTGAGCCTTTCGTGGCTCTTTTCCAGGTCAGAGGGAGCATGAAGCACTCCTGATAGGCTACGTGGGAGCGGCGCAGTGTGCGCTCCATCAGAGAGGGTGGGAAAGGGATGTGAGACTCAGCTGGAGCACTGCTCTGACTTCATGGGGTGGTCCTACAGCTTCACAGCCAGAACCAGTTTCAACTCTCCTGGCAAACACCCAGAGCGTGAGCTTTTGTGTAACCCCTTGAGCTTTGGGCCAACTGCAAAGCAGCAAACCCATGGACCTGCAGCTCGGAGGGTAGTAGCAGCTCTGCTTGAATGACTACCTCAATTTTAACAGTGCTTGAAGCACAAGTGCCCAGTGACACAAGGTTCATGCTCCTGTACTGAGCAAGAGCTGTTGTAATTTGTTGGATTGTAAAACATAGTTCAAAAGTGTGATTTCAAGAACAAGGACAATACTTTCAGTGCACGATTAATTGCCTTCTTGAGTAAAAGCAATGATGATACGTACACTTCCAAGTCCTCAAGTCTTTTGCTTTTACAAGAAAGTAGAGAGGGGAATAGAGTTATCAAAATAAACATTCTTAAATCAAAGGAATTCTTCTTCACTGTGCCCTAAGGATGCTCCCAGTGAGATGACTTCTAAGGTTATACTATTCCTAGTAGTGTCTGGCACTACAAGATATTCCCTCCTCTGACCTATTTTGCCCATTTTGATTCTTTCAGCATTGCCTCGCAATTACTACATTAACATTTAACTGCATATGTTTAGGGTATGTCTGCACAGCACCATTCTGTGTCACGTGGGGATGCACGAGCTGGCAACAAGTGCACTGGCTCTGAAATCAGAAACGCTGGAACTGTAGTACAATATTTCACCAAATTAACATACTACTGCTATGAGAAGTGAGGGAATACCGAGGTGCTTGACATGGGACCGTGCAGATCCATCTTTCTATATTGATGTAAGCTATATGATGGACATTACACCTCCTACATCCAGTTAGTGGATACTTTCCTGCTGTTAGTACACTTTCTACCCCCCAATTGTGCATTTTAATCAAAGGATTTTAGGTTAATTCAAGCTGGAAGGGACCTTAGGAGGTGTCAGTGGCTGTTGCTGAACTACTTCTTGTCTTTCTTGTATTGAAGAGCCCAAAATTTGGATGTTGTTTTCTAGATGGGTCCTAATGAGTGCTGAGTAAAAGGGGATAATAATTTTCCCTCAATCTACTGGCTATACTCCTCTTAATATAACCCACATTAATTCACCCAAATAAACATTAAGTAAAGAAAATTAACCTCCCTTAAACTACAAATAACCAATGATTTTTAGGCTGCTTTTATTACTGATGACAGATTATGTCATTTTCATCATATTTTCTCTACTACATTTTTGGAATGGAATTCACATAGAAAGGGTCTTCTCTGTTCTGTCACTGTCTACAGCAAATGTAATTTTTTGGTTCATTGCTGTTCTTCTAAACTTAGGATTTGGGTGCTCTTTGGGATCACTGAAATTCAATGCAGTTATTATTTGAATAAATTCGCTTGTCACTTCCACAGCAGACTGTCATTTTCCTTTACTATTGGAGGTGTTCAGCTGAGGTTCAACAGTGGCTACCTATGTAGCTGCTTGGGGAGAAAGAAAAGTACTACAAGAACGTGTCGGAGGGTAGGAGGCAAAGCAGGATCTTGAACCTGGGTCTGTTGTCCTCAGCAGAATACTCCAGTCACAGAACTTTTGGTTGCTTGGGCATTTTCTCTTTCTCTCCCTTTCTTCTTTCCCTCTCCATCTCCCCCAACCACAAACCCTATCTGTGAAATAATTTTCTTGAAAAATTCATGACTGACTTAACTGATTAATATGTATGTATCCCAATGTCCTCTATGGAGTATTTTTTCCCTGTCTGATCTTCTGCAAAGGACTTCCATTTGGCTATTATATTTAATAAAGTGAAAATTCAGAGTCCCAAGAGGCTAATTATCCATGGTTTTGTTACAATATTAATTCTGGCAATCATGGAATTTTAAAATTCAGCTGAGGTAATATGAAAAGCAACTCTTTCAATAACTGCATGATCCTGAAATACTGCAAAGAAGTTTTCTGAGATCATTTGCTATTGTGGGATATGGCTTTCCCAGTACTCTCTTAGTTGCTGTTCTGTTATGAATTTAGAAGAGTGAAGGTTGACCCTAAAAGTTAAAGTTGTTATTTTATTTCCTCAGGAAGCAGTTTTGGGTAGAAGAACAGTTCCTTCAAAATGTGTTTTGAAGTCAGGGAAAGGACTGCATTTGGCTGCAACTTGCAAAATGACAAATGTTCTCGCTTGTCTTGGTTTTTCAGCAGTGGTTAGCATTTACGTTTTCAGGTGGATTTGGTGGGAGGTATAGATGTCTCTCAAAGCCTTTTATAGTTCCTCCTTCCCAGGGGCTCGGCTCTCAGTCGGTTAAATGCCATTTGAAACACCCAAGGGTGCCCCTGTGCCCGCAGCTGCCACTTCCAACGGGTTTGAGTCTCCTGTAGGTCCTACGTCACATCTGCCTGACCTCTCCCTAGATGTACCTAGGACATCTCAAATGACTTCAGATGCCTATATTAAAGCAATAAAGTTGAGCCCAAATAAACATCAGTTTTCTGGACATAAAGTGAGCTATAATCATTAAGGGCAGATCCTGCCACCATACTCACTATCTCCCTGTACTCAGTTGTAACTTTTATACTACGTGTAGTCCAGACAGCTAAACTCAACCTCCCTGCACCTCTGTCTAACCAGTTTTTCTGTTTGCCAGTTGCTTCTACAGGGCTCTAACTGGACAGCTGCTGTCATGGGGTTTGCTGTGATCTCAGCTTTTAATTCAAGTTCCTGAACTTCATCTTGATTAAAAAAAAAAAAAAAAGTGTAATTAAATTGAATGTGGGGGAATCATTTATTCACATAAACCCGTTTACCTGCAGAGTGTCTCTTTGGAATATAGGAACAGAGAAAATCTACTTTGTGGGTGAATCCTGTCGTACTCTGACAGCCAAATGAGTGTGTGAAGCACAGAGCCTCAGAGGCCAGAATAACCTTTCGTTTTGTCCAAGACACAACAGAAAAACAAATGGTGCCCCTGGAAGCAACTTTGAGAGTCCTTTCAGTTTTAATCTCTGCAGCGATTAATTAGCAGATGTCAGGGGGTGGGGTTTGTTTGTTTGTTTATTTTTTTAATTTGGGGTGCACTTGAAAAAATGTAAGCTGAAAAATGTGGTTTACTTACTTATTGTGGACCCAGATTCGGGCCTGTTCAGGGAACTGATGATAACAAAGCCAAAGCCTTCGTTCTCCTTGCGGTGGATCACGACGTCACTGGTCTGCAGGCTGTGAGAAGTGAAACCCTCGGGGGGTGTAGCATTGCTACTCGAGACAGCGTGATTGCTGTTAGCATAAGTAGCGTAGTCACTTCTTGGAGAACTGTGGTGCGTAGACACCGAGCCTGGGCTTCTGCCATTCTCTGGGCACGGTTCTCCTACAACATAAATCACCCCAGTATTACAGTCTGACTTGCTCAGTGGCTCTGTGACTTACACTACATTTGCTAATGCAACATGAATACAGTTGACTGTCTATAGCCCAGACTACCGCAAGTATTAAACTAAGGGCTGTAATAGATGCAGAGAGACAGGAATCTACACAATTATGCAAAACATTCAAGGGCAATCAGATAAAGCAAGCATGAACGCTCACTGCTAAGCTATCTACAAGAGAGGAAAGGAAAGTAAGAAACAGTGGCTATCTGGATTGCAAAAACATTAGCAAGCGCTATTCCCTTGTCTGCTGGTTGATCTGTCATCAAGAGGAAAATGTGACCGTCTAATCCAATATAAAATTATTTATGTTTGGATTAAAAGAATTTAAGCAGGCAGCTAACACAGAGTAATTAGGATTAGCTGCATAATGTTCTTCTTACAAGTTGATTAGCATGCTCAAAAGACGTTCATGGAACAGAGCAGTTACACAATTGAAAAATAATCACAAATAGTTTTTCTGTGGGTGTCATGACAGCAGCAGTACTCATTTAAAGGTTTTGAAGATGCTCTTGCATGGCAAGTTGGAAAGGGCTGAAGTGCAAATGGAGTCCATCCACACTTCACTATTGCTTTACAGTAATAAGAACAGGGAACAAGTTAAATCCTGTGGGATTACACACTTTTCTAGTACAAGTATTTTGGCAATTGAAAACAGTAAAGTTACACTTCCAGATGGGAAAAAAGATTTATATTCCTCGCAGATCTAAGTTGTTTACACAAATCAGTATTTATTGACAGTTTTAATGCAGAACTTTCAGATGAATGTAAGTAATATGTTTCCTGTTCGGAGTGAGGAGAGTGGCAGAGTAATTCTACCGAACATGTGAAGAGCTTATGCACACACACATACATCCTAGGAAGAGAGCTTGCAAATTAGACCTTCAGTGTGTATGTATTAATAAAATAAACATCATCCAAGGACAAGCTGTTGTTTTCTCAGTCAGGTGTGTCCTTTACAGTCCTTCTGAAACTACGAAATAAAGTGATTAGAGAAAATAAAGAGGAAGAAAAACAAACAATTATTATACTCCTGCATTAGAATTGAAAATCTCCAAGAGTTATTGAACCAAATCTGCAATTAAATGCCATAGTCAGTGACAAGAGAGATCTCATTTTCTGGCTGTCACGTTTCAGAAAACTGAATACTCTTTATGTCAGTACGGCTGCAATAGAAAGGAAATTGTCTTACCCTGCAGAATGACCAAGAACTGGCTTGGCCATAAATGAATGCAACTGAATGCCATTAAGTATAGGAAAAGAAAGATAAAGGGGGAAAAGTTTAAATGGCTGTTCAATTGTCAGCTGTGCAGTAGATACTCATCAGAAAAAACACATTTTGCTTCTGCCTGTGAAAAAATCGCACTTTAATCCGCATTGTTCTGAATACCACATTTTCCTGATCAAATTGTTTTCCAGAGCTTGTGAATGGTGATTTTCTGTTCCAGATCAAGGTAAGTATCTGCGCAAAGCGGTGATTCCAGGTGAGGGCTAAGGTTTGTACATCAGCTATCAGGCAGGTAAGGAAAGCCCCTCTACTGTATACATTCATGCCAGTGAGAAATTCACACAAAATCAAGTGGCCCGATGTGCTCGAGTTGCGTTTTTCAGTCATGCCCAGCATCAGTCCTTTTAAATTTTTTCCACAAAGCTTATGTTAAACCACGACACATATCAAATTAAAATCCTGCTCAGTTCCTGAAATGCTTAAACATTAATGAGTTACACACTCTACTCCCCACTGTGGCACTCTCAAGGCCCAAGAATAACTCCAGGTGTTTTACCAGCTTGCTTCATCTTCTGTGCCAGGAGACCAGAGTGTCTAATAGACCCTTTTATTTGATATTTAACAAGCAGCAGCAAAGTCTGTCATCCACTCCGTGCTAACCCTCTCGCTAATTTTGCCTGCGGTCTGTACAGCCGTCTGACCCAGGAAAGGTGCTAATCGCAAGCGCTCGGCGGATTACCTTGGTTATTGGCCATTTTCCTAGCGCTGGGGGAGCTGCGAGGGGGCGTCGCGCCGGGCGGAGGGGGACCTTTCTGGCTGGAGGACTCTGGAGTCAGTAACAGAAGAAAGTCAGTCCCGCGAGAGTGCGGCTGGCAGGGAGCTGCGGTGCCGCAGTGGGAGGGGGACTGCGAAGACGAAGGTGAGTGGGAGGGCGGCTTTTTGGCAGGGGAGCGAAGGGGAACGGCGCAGGCAACGACAGCGGATCTAGGGCACGGGGAGGCAGAAGACAGGACAGGCTGGGAACGTGGTTTTGCTCATTTCTGGTGCCTCAGTGAAGTGTACTCACCACAAATGTTTTAAATGCTCTTAGATAAACTTCTTTCCTTGTGTAAGCAAAGGTTGCAATGGAACCACAGCAGATTCTCCCATTAAAGCTTTAATAGATGCTGCCACACGTTTTTCCAGGTTCTACTGTTTTTCAATAATTGAGATGGAACTAGTCTAAATGTTTAGTTTACTTCAGATTCTTCATATTGTTTTAGGTTTATTTTCGGATCGTGTCTGTGTGAAGGGAGGATCCGGCCCTGTTCCTAGGAGCTGCTTGTGCCATACAGAAGGTTTTCAGACAGCTTGTGTTGCAGTTGGGGGAAAAAAGTCCAAGTGGCATCAGTGAGACCAGAAATGGGCTTTTAACACATACAGGAGTGAAATGAGTTCTTGCCTTAAACAGTTAACAGTCTTTGAGCCTTTCTCTGATTGCTTATTGACAGGGTCAGCTTTAATAGCTTTAACTTAGGTGAACGTTTTTTCCCAAAAGTGGACAAGAGGAGACAGCACAGACCAAGACAGCATGGAACAAAGCCAGAACACTCATGATCACCACACCGGGGTTGCCAATATTGTTTCCACTTCCGAAGGAAACAACACTCAGCTGTAATGTTTTTGTCACAGAAACGAGGGACGCATATTTACAATTATTCTGTCTTCAAAATGACACAAACATTCACTGTGACTTTAATTTTCTCTATTTTTTTTTAAACCAGCACCTGCCTGTGCTATCAGCATTGAGCTTTGTTTTTCCTTTCACCTTTCCTGGCCTTCACTTACCCGTGGGTAGCACCTTTCTCCTCACAGTAAGATTCACTTGCCCATTTCGGGCAGCGTTATGCATAAGATCAATCACGTATCGGTGGGTTTTGCCGGCCACTGGAATCCCATCTACATACACGAGCTCATCACCAGGATGGAGACGACCATCTCGGTCTGCTGACCCCATGGCAATTACTGCTCCAATGAGAATCTAGGCAGCAAAGATACAAAATCATGTCATGTATACATTGACTCTCCAGTTTAGTGCTATGAATGTTGTAGTGATTTTCCCTTTCTGTTGAAATTAAGGTAGCGATTCAGTGCAGGTGAAGAGATCTGTGTGTGTCTGAAAGCTGTGCTCCTCCTCTGTGAATACGACTGAAGATGCTTCCTTGCCTTTGGTAAGAAGGTAAGATGCTTCATACCTGCGTAGGAGTGGTACACCTGAGAATCTTGATTTAAGGATGATCTACCTGATATCTTCAAATCAAGACAATTTGCCTATAAGGAGTGTTGAGTTTATATAGACTACATAATGCAGAAGATCTAAATAGATTAATTCCATGTAAGGCTCCTTTTGACTTAGAATTAGTCAGTCTGTGTATTTCTTATTGAAGGTTCCTCACTGTTGTGTGATTTAAGCACCTGGAGTAATACATTTGATGTCAGTACTGGAAGTGACCCCACTACACGGAGTTTGCTCTGGGACTCTTTAGGGGAAAAGAAGTGCTATATCAAGTGTTGTTGCTCATAATGAATAATTGCTCAGGTAGTGGTTGATTAACAAAATGGAAAAAGAGGAAAAATGTGAGCTTACTCTGGGCAGATGTTGTTTTCCCAAATCGACATTTAAATGTAATTTGTATGGGACATAGAAACTAGTAAAAAATCTGTTCAAAACCTTTTAATGACTTTCTCCACCTTCTATGCACATAAATTCACATAATTTATTAGAAGAAGACATGTATATTTTCCCTGCGGAATAGCTGGTAGAACAGTTGAGATTGATTCAAACAAAACCTGCTTTCTTTGAAAGAATATTAAAGCATTCACAGAGCATGTTCCAGATTTTCCTCTCTCTTGTTCAGTGTGAGAGTGAGCACAGAATGATGAATATGACATGCCGTGTGACAATCCGCTCTAAATAATAAAAGACGAAAGCTATCAAGTATTTCTTTTCATGATGAACTGCAAAGGCTGGATGTGGTAGTCATGCAGGAGGTCTTGCGTTTTTTTTTTTTTTGTGGTCTCAGCTGCAGCGTTGTAAGTGTCCCAGCAGAGTGTTTAAATGAAACCCCATGTGGAGCCTGGAGAATTTTCTCCAGTTTCTAGCCTCCCTTTGGCTCACTTTTCCTTTCAAAACTTAGCAAAGAGAGAACATGATGCGGCATTTTCCTGCTTCCTGGTGTTCCTGGGATCCTGTTAAGCAGTGCCAGGCTGAGTTGCCAGAGACACTCTTTCACGTTCTCCATTCTGTTCTTCAAACAGTGAAAGAACATACCTCAAAGCTTTGGAAAATACTTTGTGCAAAATCCAACTATGAAATATGTATTTATGCTCCTTTACTGGACAGGAAAAAAGCTGTCCAAAGCTACGTTTAGCTACATCTCCACAAAGTATTCTCAGAACTTTTACATTTGGGCATTTAATATGAGTAAGAATTTTTTCCTAGTTATCTTGGGAAGAGATGGGTGATAACTTTCTGCACCTTGGAAGATTCTAGGGACTGTCTTCCTCCTTTGGTTTTATTGAGCATTTGCAGTTTCTTTATAATTGGCTGCCAAAGTATTGAACAATTTGTTCATCTTTAACCTTTGGAGAAACACAAATGCAGCTCACAGCATAGCAGGTGATCATTATCTACAAAAAAGTGCAAAAACTCTTTCTAGTTTTGACTAATTAAATAATTATTGCTGATACTTCACATGTCCACAGTGGAATGGGATTGTGTTACTAATCTCAGTGGTGGAACTGACTCCTAGCAGAGTCCTACTTTAAACACTACAGGTAGGTGTGTTCGTCAAGATGATGGCCACCGTATCTGTTATTTGGTATAGTTAATAGCAAGAATAACTTAATTTTCCTTCTTTTTCATTTTCTGTGTCTGAACTTGTTTCTTATCCAGTATATGCTCTCATTTCATGGCTGAGTAATTTCCATAATAGTTATAAATTCTACAAGCAAAACACGAATTGGAAAAATATTTATCAGGATTATATCGCCTTTGTAATGCAGTTTCATACTGACATGAGATTGCTTTGAATGTGTGAGGAAAAGGATGACAACACGTGAGCAATAAAGAGTTTGTACCAGAGAAAAGGGAAAGTTTCACCTATTGCTTGAGATTAAACATGAGAAATGCTGGAATTAGGAAAATTGTGACAGAGCATAATCTGAAATTGAAGCCTGGGTCTATTAACTCATACACGTTAATCTGTTTTGATACTGAGTTTCTTTGTGATTCTTGGTAATTATTTGACTTTGTGTTTCAGTTTCTCTGAATATAACACAGTAGCTTCACAGGCACAGTAAAATTTAAGTAATAGACATATAAGGTGTGATTCATCTCACCTAATTTTAAGTGTCTATGATGTCTAAATCCAAGCTAATTATATGAACTGTCTAATCACTGCTAAAAATAGGAGCTCCTAAGGTGTTGGTCTGCATTATCCTAATGTTTTGCTATATGGACATCTGTTATGTCTTAGAAATGTCTGCTTCTTGGCACTGATCATAAAAGGAATATAGACATACATCTTGCAGGCATTTTTGAGAAAAATTCCAGTCAATCTGTGTTGAAAAGGTGAAATTCAGTATAATTATGTATATGTTCCTGTGATTTTGAGTTTGAGCTGCACAAATGTATCCATAATACTTCTCCACTTTGGGACAGATATTTGCAACTTCAGTAAAGTTCCATTTTATGTATATTTGCAACCTTTCTGTAATATTATGGTTCACTGTAATAAAGTCAGATTACCTCTCACTCCTCAGGTTACTGGGAATTGTGATAAACACCTGTGGTGGTATGACCTCATGAGATTTGAGAGGTGATTGGAACTGGCACAACCCACAGTCTTGATATCTGAAATTTCTCAATGAACTTAAGTCTTTCCTTTGGAAAGCATCTTTATGCTTACAAGTATGCAAAGTGGAGTAGTCCAGCAGCACTTTCTCCTTCTAAGGTGCCAGGGAGCTAATATAACCAGAAGGAAACTAAGCTACAGTTGCTCTATGGTGCTCGTATTATCCTTCTAAAAAAACTTTATGTGTATTCTGCTTCTTTGAAAAACTTATTGCCTTATGCTGAAGAATCCATATTCCTTTTTAGAAACCAAACCACAAAGACAAAAGGCAATGAAAGCTTCCTTTTGTTCTCTGTTACCTGACTGCACAGCAGGAGAGCTGAAACAAACATTTCAAAGCGTCTCAGCTCTTGTTTCACAGGAAATGCAGGGGTTTGGAGGACAGGCAGAAGCTGCCTCTCCTTTTCTGGAGGTGAAAGGAGTGGGAGGCTGCAGGTGGGCTGTGCATGAGAGAGCAGGGGAGCAGTGGAGGAGAGAAAACAGAACTAAGAAGTCTTGTATTTTGAATACAAAATAGATGGAAACTAAAAAAAGTGGAGTACATCTGTTGCCTTTATTAGTGATGATTTTTAAGCAGTGAAAACAAGTAGATGGCCAACAAAGAAGGAGTGAGAACTAAGAAGTTCAGCACTGCAACATCTATCTCTAAGGAGATGCCTTTTTGCCTCGTAGGATCCTCAGCCGCAAGCTAGGATCTTATTAATTCCTGAGGACTTTGAGACACGGTTTGTGGGGAGACATAAAGCCTGTTAGATTGATACATCTGGGGGAAAAATGCTTTTGTATTTGCAAGCCCTGAAATAGAGATAGCAACCTCGAGGCTAAGTGCAGGCTGAGAGCAATTGTTTGGTAGGACAGTGAAGCGTCTTAGAAGGTGGTTCACAGAAGGCAGCATTTTTCATCCTGCTCTCCAAAAATAGCAAGGTGCTTATCTCTGCACTTGGTATCCAGCTATGACTCTTTGAGTTTGGGCAGTAAAGCCAGGTCAGTCCTTTGCTGAAAAGAACCTAGAAAGAGCTGCTTCCTCGGGAGCAGTTCAGTGCATAATGCATGAAGCTGGGAAGCAAAGGTCTCGTTTCCAAACTCCTGCTCTACTGGATTGTTGAGCAGAGATATCAATTCAGGTCTTCCACCACTTCAGCATACATTCTTAACCGTCAGAATATTAGATAATCTAAACCAGTTTTCTTGCAGTCCTTTAGGTTGAAAAAACTACATTTTATATAAAAATATCATCTTTTAGAGGCATTTGAGCTGCACTTTTTCCCATGACAATGTCGTAAAACTTCCAAACTGCAGAGCCAGTCAGGCACTCAGTCTGTGACTACTTAATTAGCCATTTTTAATGAAAAAAGCACTAAAGGACAGACCAAGAGAAACTTTCCCAGAACACTGAGCAGACTTGTAGCCAGGGACACTTTCCCGGAAGTGGGAAATGCCACCAGACACTATTGTCTGAAGCAGGTAGAGGGAAATTTCAAATCTTCCATTAGTGCCAATTCTTTGCAGGATAAAATGATAAAACGGGACATTTCCTCTAGCTCCTAAGAGATTTCCTTTTTGGCTTCACCTGGTAGCTGAGCTTTGAGAACCCATACTGGCTGGGCCATCCAGAAAATACAAGAAAAATGCTTAGGTGGAGAATGTGAAGATGGTGGCTCGGTAGCCTTGTTTTATGTGCTCTGGCACATGCTCTGTGGAAGAAATTTGGGGGGCTTCAGCCACACTGCAAATGTGGATGATGAAACAGTGTTGTTTTAAAGTCCTTCTGTACATCTACACCTTATTTAGCTTTGAAAATCCATTCCAAAACACTTATTCTAAAATAGGGTCTCTGCATTTCAAACAGCACTTGAAGCACCTTTTTTTGTTTCTTTTGACAGGAGGCATCACTAAACTATTAATATTTATCAGTACTTCGACAGATGTTGACAATTTTAAAATAGAGGAGCTTTTTTGTTTCTCAGAGCCATGTGTTGGTTAATGTTAATACTTGAATGACAACTATATTATTCTGTATGAATTTGAGTATGGAATATATAAATCTATCAACTAGCTATATATTATCTCAGAAATGTGGTAACATAGGACTCAGACTATGCATAAGATTGTGATAATAAATGTTATTGTTATCAACTTGGGATCAGTCCTCGCTGACAAACCATAGTTACATCAGCAAAATTATTCTGAAGGAGTACTAATTCTGCCTGTTCTCTCAAAATTATAGTATTTATGTATATCACTAAGGTACAAAAACATCTACAAATTTCTTTTAAAAATTGTGTATATTTGCTTTATCTTATATTTTATTTCACCTGCAATGAATCTGTGGTGGTTTTGTTATGTGTTCTTTGGTTACAGGAATGTCTCCCTTCTAATGGTATCAAGCTACCATTTTTATGCCTGATGCATCACATGATGTTGCCATTTAACCTGGAACATGGACTACTGATCCCTGGTGGGGCCTTATGTATTTCTGGAAATAAACTGCGTTGTCAACAGTATCTTTTAACCTTATGCATATATATAGTCTGTCTACAGTGAAAACAGTTATGCATGGTCTTACATAATCTGATTTTTAAAAATATTCTGCTTAAACTCAGTTTTGGAAAGTCAGGATTAAAAGATGCCTGCACACACTCTGCAGTAAAGGGCTGAGTGATGCACCAATTCTAACTTAATTCCTTCTGATTCTAACAATTTATTATGACATCCTTTAGATGCAGACAGCCTGAGAGGCCTGACTTTTTCTATGGATGAAAGAAAAAGCCATTTTACTTACAGCCTTAACATGGTGTTCATTTGGGTTGAGCTATGTAGTAGCATTTTTCTGACCTTTACACAGATGTTAGAGTTATAAAAAGGAAAGTCAGGAAGAAATAACTCACAGGCTGTCCAGGCTCATCTCCTCCCAGGATCCTGAAGCCAAATCCAGACTCCATTCTCCGAAGGTGAACATCCAGCTCCTTGTAATCGGGACCTGGTTTAAAGGGAAATTGCACTGAGCAAAGCATTTTGGCTTTGTCTTGAGAATTTGCACCATCTTCCCTCCCACCTCGTGTTCATTGCACATGACTAATGGCATCCTGGTTAGTGCTGGTGGAAACAAATGGGACACAATGTGTTGTAGACAGACAAGGAGGAGACTTGAAAATGTAGGTATCTTGGAGGATGATTATGTTCAGTAGAATACAGTAAACCAAGCTAGAACACATTTGCAGGAGAACAGTACTGGAAAAGTCTGTCCAAAATAGAGGTTACAAAGGTGCCTTCTTCCTACAAGTGACTGCATTATATATTGCTGTTCATCCACATCTGGCATTTAATTTGTGTTTTCCTTGCAGTTCATTAAAGCCTAAAGAGAATAAATTGAAATGGGAGATAAAGATAAATAGAGAAATTAGCAGTCCAACTTACAATAGATGAACAATCATTACAGGCCCTTTTAGTTCCACATACAGATATAAAGCAGTATGTCTTTTTATGTAATGTAGTTTTTAAGTACTCCACTTTCAGGTAATACCCTCAGTAAAGAGTTGTGATGAAAGCTATCATTATAAGCCTGAGTCTTAGGGTTTAAATTGAAAGCTAACATCATTAACTTGAACTCCTTAATGCTACTCAATTAAAGTCTCAACAGCTTTATGAATCACTAATATTGTGCTTCCATATGCCTGTGTAACTTGTCAGTAAACATATATTCTGCCCCAGAATATATCAGTTCAAGAACACAGTGTTTTTTTAAAAGTCAATTTCTTATAAAAGTGTCTTTAGCTTCATTTGAAAGAGCCTATTGATTTGGGTCTTGATGCCCTCAAAATACAAAAGAGAAATTTTGAATAAAATTTCAAATAATATGAAGTGAAACCCTAAGTCTTAGAGGACTAAGAAGTTGTCTATTTTGACTGTTGCATGTTCAGAGATGCTGTAGGCTCATCACCTAAAGCAGGACAGTGATTAACAGGAATGGTCTTTTGTACAAATTGCACTCCGGTCGATAAATCGTGACGGCTTTTGGCCAGTGTCAGCTTGTTGCCAACCCCAAAGACAAAAAGGGATGAGTAGGTTTATTTCAGCAAACTGATCATAGTGTCTCCAGTTGTGCCTTGTTTTCTCAGGAGGGGAGGGACTGCAGATGGCTGAAACACGGTACTTCAGAGGCTCTCATTTACAGCTCCCTCCCCAGAGCCATCCGTGGACACCTCACAAACTGCAGAGGTTAGTCTGGGATTAAAGCCAATTCAGTTTTAGTCAGGTCTTGTAAAGGCAGAAACACAGAACTAGATGCAGTGGCTCTATGCTATGACTGTGTAATAAAAATCCTCCGTAGACAGCAGCACAGTGCATTGTTTCAGCAATGTATATAGGTATGATTGAGACCGAATCACAGATGTTTCACTTGGTAAAAATCAAAGTATTACCTCTCCCTACCAACTTGTTTCTCATGTATATAGAACACAAATACAAACAGATCCTAACAGCTTATTATCCTGATTTTTTCAATTTATTTGATAAATGTCTCAACGGTGAATAAAAAAACCGAATGAAGTTTGTGTATGTACAGTATGTTAACTCAGTGCAAATGTTTTAAAGTTGTGAGAAGCAAAGGGATTTTAAGATAAAAGCGATACCTTATCTGTACCTGATTTGCTGTGCCTAAGTGTAAGAAGGATGGGGCTCAATCCTAGGGAGAGGGCTTTGTGGATAGACACAGTGGGATCACCATTTACAGCCCAGGTCTAACAGTCAAAGGCGCTGTTTCCAGCAGTCTGTCACAAACCAAGCGCTACCTTTATTTGTGCACACATGAAGGAATATGCACAGTGGGGAACACATTAAGAAAGTACAAGAATATCAGGGTGTGAAGAATACATGCTCTGGCACACTGAGATGAAAGTTTCACTTAAACACATACAGTTACAAAGCTGATCCGAACCAATGTTGGCACCAGACTCCAAAATAAGAGGTATTATTTTTTTAAGAAGAAGCTGTTTTTCTACTCACTTAGAATGGAATAGGTAAGCCTGATCAACCGTGGAAAGATTTAGGCTAAAACCGGTATATATGGGCATACTTTTCTATGAGCTCCAACACAGTTTGGAAGCCCTTGCATCAACTGACTATTCCATCATGCTTGCTCAGGAGAGCCTTCCTCCCAAAGAGCTCAAAGCTGGTAGAGTCCATTCTCTGCCAACTCTTACCAGGTCACGGAAAACTGCTTTTAAAAAATTATGTTCTTTGTCCCACCAAGCAAACGAAACGTTGAACTGGAAAGAATCCCTGGGTCATCTGGTCCAGTTCCCTGTTACTGCAAGCCTCTGCAAGCAAACAGCACGCAGACCTTACCGATGTAGGTGACACTGGGTGCCCAAGCCTGTTTGTGGCCTTTGTCACTAGGTCACCTGCCTCTTTCAGCATTTCAGCACCCTATGATTTTACTTACTTTTTCACAGTAATATCATACTCTCTCCAGTGACTGACTAGTATACGTAAGAGCGTTTCCTCCACTGTTGTTGCTGGTTGTTTCAGCTTTCATGCTCGGTATGATATGACTCCGCTGGCTGCACACTGACCAGGTCTCCATCGGTCTAGAGACAACTACAGCATAGACATCTGAAGTTTCGTGTCCGAATGTGAACCTGATTTCCACCCTTAGTTTTTGTGCTTGGGTCATTAACGAAAATAACACAGAAGGCTTATTGCAAGGCTCTCCATTGATATTATCCCTTCAGTCCAGAAACTGTTCTTTTAGTATAATCACCTATCCACTTTCTAAGCATTCCCCTTTACATTTTGTGCTAAACACTGTCTTCTCCAGACTAATATGGAAGTGCTCTAATTATAGCTGGTGTTTTGTAAAATGCCTAGTTGAAGTCTAGATTGATTAAACATGCATCGCTGGTTTGGTGCAAAAAATCAGTTACCAGGGTACTGCCACAACCAACTTTTGGTAAACGCCTTTTGCGTTAGGTCTCAGTTTATCTCTATATTGGCAGTTAGTTTTTAATCAAAAATACGTTCTAAAGTCTTGCTGCTGCTGAAATCCCTTTATTCCTGTTTCTTAAAGACGGGTAAGTTGTTCACTGTTATGTGTTTTTACAACAGGAGCTCATGTTTGGCAGATTTACTAAAAGCCGCTATTTTAAACAAGCAGGTTCAATATTCCTGAATGTACATTGATCAAATACTCTTCTCCAGATAAGTGACTACATTTCATCTGATATTCCTTCAGTGCTTGCTTCTCTTGGATTCCGGTACTTTTTTTTTTTCCTCACCAAGGATTTTTAGATAAACTAAATTTTGCCTTTTCTTGCTGGAGCAGATTTTCAGTTAATCATACAAAGAAAATTACCTATACTTGCAGAAAAATGATGCTCCTGTGCCTTAAAATATACACTGCAAAATGGTGGTTAATATCACTTCATTATGGAAAATACATCTTTTTTTCTTTTTGTAAGCTTGATTAGCACCTTGTGGTTCATGCCAAATAAGAAGAAATGACTAGGTTTGTAGACACAAGACTCAAGCTAAGACTGAATTAGTTTGCTTTTCCTTCCAGTCAACTTAATACACCTGAATGTCCCATCTCCCTCCTACCAGTTTCATGGAAAGGAGACTTTCAGCTTAAAGTCAATATTTCTGATCATATAATATGAGTATCCTGTGCAAGAATGACAATGCTCCATGTTCTCCCTTGCCTCTCTGCACATTTGTATCAGAAAAAGAACTTCAGAATTGCCTGCTAGTAACTTCATTGTCTTTTGTACAGTTATAGCATTGTGTTTCTTCTTTTTCTGTAAAGGAAAACTTTCTTAACTGATCGTTTGGCCTAGAAGAGAAAAAAACCCAATTCACTTTGCTAGGTTATAAAACTGGCTGGCTCCCCCATGAATTTGAGAACGGTATTGGACAAGCTGGGATCTGATCATTGCTGCACAGTGAGGGTGGTAAAGAGCACTGGGAAATTCTGCTTTCTGGTTCCTGGACGATGGGGAATTTGCTTTAAATGTAAATGCACCGGCATAGATTGTTACTGAACAATAGTGAGATCTCATAGGTGAAGATGTGATTATCCACTCTCAGCTACGTTTCCGTACTGTATTCATTTGAATTCCTAGGTGAATTACACATTGATAAGTGTACATGCAATTGTTTCTTAGAAGTACGTAGAGAAAAATATATCCCTGAAGATAATTAATTCATTTTCTGTAGGAGTCAAGTTGCACAAGTGCTATGTGATTTTTATGGTGATAAACTTGGTATTTTGGATGGTGCTGTAAATTTTGAGATGGATTTTTTTTTTATTAAATCTTTTCTATATTGCAATTAAAACAAGGATGAAGACCTTTGTTGTAATATTTTTATAATCTTTCTGAGTGTACTCAACTTTCCTGCTAAAAATAAAAATTAATTTGGACTTTTGCTGAAGATGGTGAAGATTTTTGTTCCATATAAATCATTACTCTGAATTGTGAATTGTGATTGACACAAACCTACAATAACTTTTTATCAGAGTTTCAGATGCTCTGTAAAGATGTGGAAAGCTTGAAAACAGTCCTGGGTCTGCTGGTCTCCAACATGACTAGCTTTTAAAAAAACATACATATTTCCTCTTGATATTTATAGAAAGGAAAAGCTGGTAAATAAAGACTTCAGTATAAAAATCAGCAAAGCAGAAAAAAAAATAATAAAAGAATTGAAGTATTGGTGTGCTAACAGAGTTATTCAATATATAAACTTTACTGGGGTATGCTAAACCAGCCCAATATCATACTGAATTTAGGATCTCTGTCCACCCTGTGTAAGACTGGGAAAGACTTTAATGGGATTGTTAAAATAGTCTTTTTTGTAGGAGATGCCTTTTTAACTGTTCACTTTACATGATCACATCAGGAAATCAAGTATTGCTGGTTTTTAAACAAGTCCATTGCTACTGTACAAGACCAATGTTCATTCAAACACCTGCAAAAGCTTCTATTTTTGAAAGGTTTTGATTTTAGGTTTTTACAGAATAAGATGTATGGATGGGAGCAAGGAATGGGTGGGGCTGTATAATACATCAGTTGTGCTCTTTTACAAATGAAGATAGATAGAATTAATTTCAGTTTTACACAAAATATACCTTAAGCTTAGGTTTGGGCATGAGCTACAGAGATACATTTTTATGTTACAGAGTGAACACCAATGTATGAAAGCACACGTAAAACATCATAAAACATATGCAAAGACTGGTTGAGGAAAAAGAAATACTTTTCCTTGCTCAAAATGCAAATCTGTTATAAAAAGATTTAGAGTTAGCATTCTATAACCCCACAAAGCTCATAAAAAAAAAAAAAAAAAAAAAAAAAGGTGACTGGGCAGTAATGATTGGCCATTATCTAGAGAAATGATTAAAGAAAGAAGAATAACTACAACATAAAATGAAGGACAATTAGTTTACGGAACAATGAAGGCTGAAGAATACTTGCCAGAGGAATCCACTCGAAAACCAGTCCTGGGCAGCACTTGTTCTGAATAGGAAAATGGGGAATTAAAGATGAAATACATTTCTCAATTTAAAGATGCAGCATCAATTTCTCTGCTGTGTTTTGAATTATTGAAGTGCAATTTCTACTTTTTATTGCAGTTTTTTTTTCTCCTCCCCTCCTTCCTGACTTCCTAGGTGGTACATGTACGTACGTATGCCTACTAGATATAGACTTCCCTGTTCATTTCTATGCGAAGTGAAAGAGGTGGTAGGATGATAATGTTCCTTTAACACAACATAGGTTGTGACAAAGATAAAATTGTTAATGTGTTTAAGATTTTGAAAGTTAGTGACAATATTTATGCTTATTCTAGTACAGCAATAAAAGGGCAAGTTTAACGGCTGTGTTTAGATGACCTGACCACTGTTTTTATTCAACTCAATTGCAAAATGTCTTTTATCATCAGGAAAAGCAAGATTTTGCTAGAAGGATGTATGTTGCCAATAACCACAAATGGTTGTTCATGAAGGCAAATGGAGGTAAACCCATTTAACCTACTTTTCATGCAGGTAGTTTCAAAGTATTTGCATTTCACTAGATGAAATGCAGCAAATAACTGATTTGTTTTCATATACGACTACTTTACTGGCATTAGAGGAATATGGAACTAGTCCATAGCTGAGTACACTGTCACACTTCCTTTGCTGATTTTGAAATTTTCTGAATAAGATTTTCTGTTTTATTATCTCTGCAGCATCCAGAGTGAATTGCAAAACATCCGAAAACAGAGGTGATTTCCACTGGCCTACCAAAACAAAAAGGTAAATAAACCATTAATGCATTCGTGTGACTCTCTACCAGAGTATCATACCACACATATTTCATGATACAAGTGGGGTAAGGTCTGTCACATCAGCATCTGGAGGACAGTGTTGCAATGTACGAGTATATACTATCTTCCTGAGACAGAAGGAAGACAGGAGTGCATTTAATTTTTAAGTAGGCAGTTCCAGGCAGAAAGAGCCAGAGAATGAATTGGAGGCCAGCAATTTTGGCTAAGCCTTCTGGAAATAAGTGGATGTGGTGAAAGAAATGAGAAGACAGTATTTCCTCTATGGACAGCTCTTAACCACTTTGGAAGAGTTTGGACTGAAGCTATCTGCCTTCCGGTGGACGGTTTCCTAAAGGCAGCATGGGCTGTAATGGTAGCAGCTGAGTTCACTTGAGTTAATGCTGAACTAATGCTCTAGGGCAAAGACATTTTCCCCAAAATGGAGATGGAGGCCACTGAATGACTTTTTTTGGCAAGATCATTTACCTAACAACCATGACCTGCTCAAATTCAGATGACTGCTACCTTGCTTACCTAAAATACAGTCTAGAGATTCCGCTGGATGGGAACATCTCTTTGGATTTGATGTTCCTGTTGTATTTGAGTTCACCTGCTGTGTTAGGAGTTGTGTTGTGGTGTTTCAGATTATAGATAGCTGTACATCTTTACTTTCACAGTTAAAGGAGGTAATTCGATCACGCAGTTCAGATTTTGCAAAGTGATTTGGAATCCTTCAAGATGAGAGGTGCTATCTAAATGTAAATTATTCCACCAGCACAACTCATGAAAACCAGAACCTATGAAACTGATGCTGTTCCACTGCAAATTTGGATAAAAGATTTTTTTACTCACATCCTTTCAAGATTTTAATGGAATTCTTAAAAGAGACAGAATAATTTTAATGTACAGAAAGCAATTTCATCTTGATAGTCTCAACAAGCTTTTAGTTTTGAAAGGACCCAAGCCTTTTCTGTTGGTCATCCACCTAGAATTACCCTTTTGAGCTGTTGTAAGATTGGTTCATTCTGTGTTTCTATTTCTGCTTGTAGTCATCCTAATATCCCTCAGAACTGGCCTCAACCAGCAAAGTGAAAGAAGCACAACCATGCTCAAACTGTGACAACTTTGGGAACAACTTGCTATGTTAAGATAGCCACGTATCTTAAGTCAGCAATACCTTTTTTGTAAAGTATTGTTTGTGGTCAAGCAAAAGTGTCAATGAGGTAGTTTCCTTCAAAGCTAATCTCGTTAAGTCTGATTTGGCTTTTGTTCCTGAATAAGTGTCTTTGACTAGTATAATTTCATATAGTGTCTCATGGTGTTAATTATCATCTCATACACAACCATTCAACATCTAGCATTTGTTTTCGTTGTAGTTTAGAAATTCACACATATGAAACTTGGAACTTTGCTATGCTGAAGGTGTTAAATTGAGCCTTAAAGTTCTTAAACATATGAAAGATAAACCTAAATGCAGACCTGTATTTTTGGTAAATACAGAAAAGTAATGTTCATTTTAGGAAGAATCTGCCATCAGCAGTCTGGGTCTGTGTGCAGTACAGGATATTTGTAATTACGTCACTGGCACTTTGAAAAATAGAATATAACCTCTAAATAGCTGTGCTTATGTGATGGGCAAACTGTCAGCTACTGGTAGAAAGCTTTGAAAGAGGAAAGATCTGTGAAGAACATTTAACATATGAGAAGGGACTTTATTAGCAAAATACTAGCTAGTTCTTTACAAAACGTGCATAAACCCCGCAGAACTGAAACTTCCAAGTGAAGAGGAAGGACCACTGGGACTGCTCCTCAGCCAAGCAGAATGCACACCATTTGTGCACGTCCTGGTGCCTTGTATCTGCTAAGGACAAACTGCTCTGTTTTATAAGAAAACTGTCAATTGTTTTTTATAGGAAACTAACCTTTATGCAAGGCAATTCAAAACTTTCTATTTACTTATTATTAAATTAATTCTGGCATTTTCTAAACTTTTACTAAATTAAATGCCTCAGGAAATGAGGCAGCAGAAAGCATGTTTAGAGAGACCAGGACAAAGAGACCAGACTACCCAACACTGTCACCATGAACAGGCATTCAAAGTGCAGAAAGTTTTAAAATGTTCACATAATATACATGTATTCTCCATATAAAGCCTTTTTGGTTGTACTGGTGTGGCTGCATTGCCACAAGTAGTTGTACTATTTTATATGAAATAGGAATGAAATAATTACAAAGTAGATCTTGAATGAATAACAAAATACTTGGTAAATTTGCTGCATTAATTTTTTTTAGTTTAGTTAATCTGTGCTAGAAACAAGAATTGGGAAAGTAAAACTAAGATGACTTCTTCTGAACTGCTACTTGTAGATAACTGTAACTGAAACAAATCTCCACCATGGGGACTACTCTATGTGTCCTGGAGAACAAGGGTCCAGCTGTGCATTTCAAAGGGTCTTGCTATACATCAAGATTTCCGCCATATTAGGTGAATGCAAAGCCAAGATTAACTTTAAAGATTAAAAGATAAAATAGTAAAAAGCTTGCACATCTATTTAATTTAAAACAAATGACACTTACAATTTTGAAACTGAAAGCTGTAAAATATTTGTGAAAATAGATAAACAGATAAACAAGACCTGGGACACAATCCCGACTTGACTTAACTGAAACCCATGGTGAGAACACCAGACGACTTTGCTGTCAAGATACAGCCCTAGGAGCACAGTTCACCTACAACATGACAAAAGGGTATTCTTACTTGCACTGATGGAGTCACTGGTATTCTCTGGAGGAATTATTATGCTGATGAAAGATAGGGATGATAATATTTATTGTCCATATGGCATTATTTTCTGGATCATACTTTGTTGAACACTAAATACATGGAACAAAACTAGCACTAGGAAACATTTATATTTCAGCATCTCAGTCCTAGCCATGCTTTAGGTGAATAGGAGTTTTACAAATGAGCAGAATGAATATGATCATGCTGTAATGTCCTTTCCAAAGCTGGGCAGGCAACAGCCCATAAGCAATGCAGTTCCCATTGGTCTCATGCACCTGTGACCAATTCCCCAATGCTTACAAGTCAGTTTTCTTAAATTATTACTTGGACTTCTTCAGTACACCCTACCACTTTGCAGATGAAAATCGATTTGTATGCCTTTTAATAAAGTGTAAATTGTTCAAGAGAAAAGAATATTGCATCTTTAATACCGCCATCAGTTGCAAAACTGACGCTTCATATTAGCATAGGTCATTTGGGACCTACTTTGCAATCCAGCAATCAAAATCACTTTATATCCACAGTACTGTGATGATGATATTCTCATAATTCCATTTGAAAATGTTTTTGGTTTCATTGTCAGTTTTTATAACCAACAAATCCGTTTTGTCATGGCGAGTAACTCTTTCTGCAGTGATGAACAATAGAAAATTATTTAATGTTGGTCTGTTAAATTTCCTCTCCTTTTGTTATGTATCACCTCTTGTTAACAAAAAGGTTTACATTCATTTAGCAATACAAGTTCTTAGACCTTCTCTATGCTGTTGCTTGGGGTAGCAATAGATGCATGGAAAACAATAACCTGTACTGTTTGGAAATTATTTGGAGAAATTACTTTCCTATAACTCAGTTGATTGTGCTCTAGGTCAAGGAGTAGTTTGATGATAATACATAATAATTAGCAATTTCCCAATACTCTTTTATTTACTAAGCGAAAGCAGGCATGGCTTACTTATATAAAGGGCAGTAACGAACAGAAATATTGAAAGATATGGCAAACTGAGCTCAAGGAAGATTTGAAATAGAACCTAATTTTCTGAATTTATAGTCCTAAACACTTTATGCAGACAAAACACCCTTTATATTTATATAATACTTCAAAATACTAAGTATTTAACGCTATCATAATGCTATGTATATATACATATGCACACATACATGTGCACACATACATATATATCTTAATAAAGGACTGTAACCAAAATGTGATTTTTTTTTTAGACTAGAAATGAGCAAAAATTAGAAAAATTGTAGGAGGTAAAATTTTTGTCAGGAAAATACTATCTGAAAAAAATTGCAGTAACAATTTTGTGAAAAATTTCCTTCAATTTTTTAGACTGTAACTGTGTAGGTCTTCAGCCAACAAGTACTGCTTAGTTGTAGATTATGCTGTAGACCCCCTCAGGTGACTCAGTTCTATACACC